GTGTGTGTGTGTGTGTGTGTGTGTGTGTGTGTGTGTTTGCACACTCATGTCTGCTCACCATAGGGGACGGTGGAGGTGGTGGGCTGGAGGGTCCGGGCGCTGTCATCACTCACTGACCAGATCATGTAGCTGCCATCACTGTGGGAGCTCACAAGGATGCTGCCACTGCGCTCCCACGCAAGGCTCTCCAGCTGCTGCAGGGGTGGAGAGAGAAGAGCTAGTCCACTTGGGGCAAGTGGAAGAGGGCGCTAGCGTGTTTTCACAGGATTAAATCTGACAGCAGGTGGAGAATCTATCTGGGCCAAAGGGATGGAAGGGCTCCATCACATGACCTCCCAGGCTGGTCTCTTTGTTCTTAGAACCAGAGTAACAGATTTTGGAGCTGGGGAAGTACCTCAAGATAGCCCCTTGCCTTTAGGAAGTTAAGCTGCTATGGTGCCTATTTTACAGATGAGATGACCATAGACCAGAACAATTAAGTGATACACCTGTGGTCATTTAGCTGGTGAATAGAAGGGATCTCAGGCATTCTCTGCTTGAAAAATCACACAGAGTACCAGGAGACCACCCTCCAGGGTAAACTATAGGGCTTAGGAACATACCCAGCCCCCGACTGTCCCCCTGGCACAGCAGGTACTGAGAGGTGTCCTCCAGCATACCTGATTTCCCAAGAAAAGGTGGTCAATGTGCCTTGTGCTCTGGTCCCAGATGACAACCAGGCCCCGGCTATAGCCAATGAGAATCTTGGAGGGGTCCTGAGGATGTTCCTGTAGGGATTCCACTGGCCCAAGGGCCTTCCCACACCTGTAATCATCAGGCACACTACAAAGAGAAACATAACGTAGTTAGACATAATACAGAACTTCCTGCACAGAAGATAATGGAATGAACCCCCAGGGGAAGTTTCTCCCTCCTTATTGTCTTTGCTGTTGTTGAGCTGTTTCAGTCATGATCTCTTCTGGGGTCTTCTTGGCCAGGGTACTAGAATAGTTTGCCATCTCCTACTCTAGCCCATTTTATAGATGAGGGAACTGAGGCAAAAAGGGTTAAGTGACTTGCCCAAGGTCACACAAGCTAGTAAGTGTCTAAGGCTGGATTTGAACTTGGGAAGATGAATCTTCCTGATTCTAAACTCAGTGCTCTATCCACTGCATCACCTAGCTGCGCTTACTGTCCTCAAGAAGCCCTGAAATGGTTTAGGGGCGATCTTATCTGCAGAAGATAAGTGCTGACCTAGATGACCCGGGCATACCCCTAGCCTGCAGAGAACATCGGAAGTGAGGATGGGATCCATTCTAAATCCTTCTAAATCTCTGGCTCAGACCCAAATTAGTATTTATCAGGATTATTATTCCTTTCCCTTTAAAAAAACACTTCATACTTTTCAAAACCCATTCCTATCCACCATTTCCTAGAATCTATTCTACAACTAGAAGGAAACTTGAAGAAAATCGGATCCAATCCCCTCATTTTACAGATGAAGAAAACTGTCCAAGGTCATTACAGCAGTTTTAATGGCAGCATTGGAATTCAACCCCAATGCCTCTCTCTGACTTCAAATCTACTATATTTACAGGGGTAAGGAACCTGCAGCCTCAATGGATCTTCAAAACATGCCTAACAAGGAGTGCAAAGAAGGGTTATGACATCCATCTGAGATGAGGACATAGACCCCAGAGGCTGAAATGGGCCCCAAGTCACACAGCTGATTAGCAGGGCCAGGATGAGAATCCAGTCTTTGGACTAAGCCCTTTCACTATGGTTTTACTCTAGGTAGGAGTGGATGCTCCTACCAGCAAAAGGCAGGCTTCTTCACTTCCAGGGCTAGATAGGACTAGAGACTTGAGGGCTCCTTGCCCACGCACGCCCCAAACAGCATAGCAGTTCCCCAACTGGGGCATCTAACCGGGACAAGAAAATTGTCTTCCCACATGAACAGATGAGAGGCTGTGAATAGGATGACATGTGATCAGTAGGGCATCTATGAGCCCTTGTTGAGGTCTGAAGATGATGGCCCCTTTGGGCCACTATTCACTTCAAGCCTCAATTGTAACATATTCACCTTGGCTTATAAGAGCCAGCCTTCAAGGCAGAAAGAAATGGGTTTAATTCCTGCTTCTTGACACATACCGCCTACGTGACTCTTGGCAAATTATGTGATCTCTTACTACCACACGCACAACTTTATATAGTTGAGATCAGGTTAAATCTACAGTGGCTAAGGAACTTTTCTCACCTAGAATTCCCTATACTAATGAATGAAACTGCAGGACAAGTAAAATAATAATAACAAATCTAAATAAATAAATAAATAAAGAAATATATCCATGCCATAGAGAGTGGAATTTTTTGGCATTAAAAAATATGTGTGCCATATTAAAACCTTGATAAGGCGAGCTATGAATTAGTCCCATCATTCTGGAAAAGAAGCTAGAAAAAAGCGACTAAAATGTCCATAACCCCTGGTGTAGAAGTTCTGATGCTAGGCACACATCCCAAGGAAGTTGACGAAATGAACCAAAATATTTATAGCTATGCCTTTTGCAGTTTCAAAGAACTGAAAACAACTGAAAAGGGGGACAACCCACTGATAGGGAACTGGCTAGATAAGTTTGGGATGCCTGGATGCAATGGAATGTAACAGAAAAGTGTGGAAAGACTTACATGGACAGATGCAAAGTGAAGCAAGCAGAACCAGGAAAACTATAGGTAATGACAACAACATAAATGAAAAGAACAAAACAACTGAAACTGAGTCCTGTGAAATTATAATGATTGAGCTTCACCTCAAAGAAGAGGTATGAGGAGGCAACTCCCTACCTTCTTTGCAGAGGCAGGGGAGACTAAGGGTGTGGAACATTCCAAATAATAGCAAACTTGTTTTGATGTGTTGGTTAGTTTCTTTGAACTGTTTTTTTCTTCTCTTTTTTATTTTTTGTTCCAAAAGATAGCTCTCCCATGTAGGTGACACAAAAATAAATAACAAAAATTTTTTAAAAAAAATACATGCACTTAGAAACACAAAAGATGCGTGATTCTGACAGCACGGGGAACTCTCCTCATTGATTCATATGGCAACCCATTTGGGACTGAAAAGATAAGTCCCAAGGAAGTGTCCAAAGCACAAAGAAGTTAATTGACTAGCCCAGAGTACATCGTGTCAGACGTAGAATGGAACCCAAGTCCATAGTGCTTCTATTAATTTAGAAAGCCACATTAAAAAGTGTCCCTTATTGAACTCCTTCCATCCCTTTGTTGAACCCTAGGTAGCACAACACTATTCATGAAATCTGCTATCTACTCTTTAGCTTCTGTCCTGAATGTGTAATTGCCTATATAATAAAAACCACAGTGCATCCTGAAGATGCCCCATTCAGATTTACACCAGCTCTAAGGGGTTGTCCGGGTGAGCCTTCAGCAACAGCAACGAGGCACTTAATCTACCAAGCTTTTTTACGCCACCCCACTCCTCCTCCAGTCATCTGCAGATTAAACACGTTTTCAAACCACTGAATTAAAATATTCTTTTTTCCTCTCAGCTCAAGGGATCGAGGGGTGTGTGCAGGGGGGACATAAACACAAATGACAGTGTTCCTCCCCTCGACCCCTCCATTCAGCCCAAGAAGCCCCTCACCTCTGCAGGACCTCATCCTGGTAGAGGGTCTGGTCTTCTAGCAAGGCAAGGCTGGTGGGATTCAGGAAGTAGATGCCACCTCCTTCCGTGCCCAAGCAGGCCATGGTGCAGGCTGACTTCAGCAAGATCACCGTCACCCGGGTGATGCTGGGAGGGGAGCTGCCCAGAGAATTGAAGGAAAAAGGCAGGTGAGCAGCCACACCATTGTCAGAGGCAGGAGTTAAAGGAGGCTAGGAGAAGACCACCAGTCCAGAGAGGGCAGAAAGGCCCACAAGCGTTCAGGCTCAGCCACAAACCCCAAATTCAACCCAGAAACTCCGACTCCACCCCAGGGCAAAGAGCTGCCAGTGAGGGCTTTGCCCTTTGGAGGATCAGGAAAAGGTTCAGAGGGGATTCAGGAAAGGGTTCGGATGGGATGCAGACCTCATCATTATTATTATTATTTTTTATTATTATCTATCAGGCAGTACTCTCTGACTTGAAAGGGCTGGCTAGTTATTAATTACTGTGCTGAAACCTGCAAGGGGAAGAAGAATTATGGGGAGGAGAGAGGAGCTCTGAGGTACATAATTATCACCTGAAATTACTCATCGCAATTAGTCATTAAGAATCTATGTACAGTTTTATAAAAATAGTCTCTGAGGGAACAGACTCCCCAGTCCCTCCTCCTTTGGCCTGATCAAAGGAAGACGCTGGCACAGTGAAAAGAGCTGGATCTGGAGTAAAGGACCTGGGTTCAAACTCTGGTTTTGCCTGGTATGAGAAGCATGACCCCAAGCGAGTCACTTATAACTTCGCTGGGCCTCAGTTTTCTTCACTATAAAACGAGGCCATTGGGTTGGACGGCCTTAAAGGTCCTGTCCAGCTCTAAATCTATGCTCCTATGATACAAAAGGAGAATGAAGGAGGATAGAAGAGGACAAGGAGAAGTCTCTTCTGGATTACACAGGAGAGGGGCAGAGGAGCTTCAACATCTATAGATAATGGATGATTGGGGAAGCCATGGACTACAGAGGTCCTTGGAGCTGATGCTCCCATACTGTCTTTTTTTTTGTTGTTGTTGCTTTTTGGTGAGGCAATTGGGGTTGAGTGATTTGCCCAGGGTCACACAACTAGTAAGTGTTAAGTGTCTGAGGCTGGATTTGAACTCAGGTCCTCCTGACTCCAAGGCCAGAGCTCTATTCACTGTGCCATCTAGCTGCCACTCCCATACTGTCTTTAGCCAATAACAAAGATCAAACTATTTTGAAGTAATAACAACTCACATGTATTGAGGCTTTTAAGGCTAACAAAGCATTTTTTCTTTACAACTACCCTGAGGGGGAGGGTTGCCATGCAGGTGTGGGGGAGAATAGACCGTATTATGCCCATTTTGCTGACTAAACTTAGGCACAGAGAAATTAAGCGGCATCTAATTTGCAAGGTGAGTAGCAAATGAATTAACATATGTAATGCATTTTGAAAACCTGAAAGCACTATGTAAATGCTAGCTATTAAGTGATACAGCCAAGGTTACAAAGTTACTAATGTGATTAGAACCCAGGTCTTTTGAATCCAAATCCAGTATTCTTTCAACTGTGCTATGTAGCCTCTTTCTAGAACTTCTTTCAGAGTGGGGGGGGGAATCACATTTTCCTTCATGACTGACTCTTTCTGCCTTGTTTTCTCAGGCTCATCCATTTGACAGAAAGGCTGGCCAGGGGGCTTGGAGACAAAGGGAGAGCTCCGGGAGACGGAAGCAAAGGGAGGAGGGCCAACAAACCAGCTACACGTCTGCCCAAGTGAGACTCAGCCACTCTAGCGGGCCACAGATGTCTGGATTTCTCCTCTAGTGACTACAAGTCTCCTTTCCAGTTCCCACACTGAAAATAAGCTTCTCCTTGGCCTCTGCTAATCCTAGAGATCCCTCTTTGAATCATTCTGAAATGCTCATTTCCACACCATGGACTTTTACAGAGCAAAGGGTCAAATAGAATAAATTCCCAAATGATGGAGGTAGTGAGATGTGTTCTCGTGTGTTCTCTCTCTCTCTCTCACACACACACACACACACACACACACACACACACACACTTGCTGCTACTATTACTTTCTATAGGAACCTCTTCCCCATTTCCCTCCCCGGCTTCTGGAAGGCTACTTTGACCCTTAGGTGAAGTGTGCCCTGTCACCCATAGTACAGATGTGAAGTTCTTGCCATTATTTCAGGTTTTGGTAGCATCCATCCAGCTCTAACCTGATAGCCTATGGCTATTTCATTCCAGTATTTTACATGCCTGCAGGCCAAAGAAAGGGGACTCCTGGAGACTACAACCCCTTGAACCCTCTATGTGCTAGGATACATACAAGAAGGATCTGTGGTTTAGCCAGAATGGCAAAAGGAACCATTCCACCAAGGCAACCACCTTAGTAGGCAAATACTAGGGAGCTGTCTGAAAAAAAGAGAGATTAAATGACTTGCCTAAGGTAACAAGGTATGTGAGGATCTGAATCCAGGTCTTCCAGACTCTAAACTCTACCCCTTATGCCACACTCCCCCTAGTGGGTGTTCAATAATAAACACTTGAGGCTTGATATATAGCTATGAGCACTCCCACTCAACTAGTGCCATTTTTTCCCTAGGGCCTACGCTGGGGTATAAGACCCAAGCACTGTTTCAGGTGAGGTCTCTCTCACCCATCGGTAAATAGTTTCTTAAATAGAATCCAGAAGCTGGTAGGGAGAGAGGGCCAAAATCTATGTATCCTTCATGGTCCTATGGAGTACCTTAGCTCCTTAGTGGAGCCTAAAGCCTTAGCAGGATGAAGCAGGGCATTTCATGCCCCTGTTAGCCTGCTGTCCCCTTCTATTATTAGCAGCAGGAGAAGCCTTCCCTTCGAGCAAGAAAAGTCAGAAACTGGTCAGCAAGAGTGATACGAACCTCATGTGTCATCATTCATTTAGATGGCCCAGACAGCCTAGTGGGAGTGGGAGGATGGGGGAGGGGAGAGTCAAAGCCCTTTCCTAGGAAAGGAACTCTTGTCTACCTAATAGATGACCTTTTTCTTTAGGCCTGGAAAGGGGGTGGGGGTGGGAAGCAAAGATTCAAGAAAAAAAGTCCTTTGAAAGGAGGAACTTTTTCATTAGCAAAAATCGTCATTCATGGAAAGAACCCACACAAATCCCTTCGACACTGAGGAAGGAGTGTATCAAAGCTGTCTCAGATTCTCATAGGAAGGCTGATGAAAGGAATTTGCATTTCTTGCTTTGGGATGAAAGCAAGATGGGAAGCTTTTGGAATGGACCTAGTAGTAACTGGAATCCAGACTATTTCCCCTCCCAGAGAAGGGGCTGCCAGGATCTCCACTCCAAGGTCTATCTCTGGGAAGAGCTCTTTGACACATACCAGGATCCTGATCAGGGAAACATAGAGTAGAAGGTGGGTCTACAAACCACATATCCATCACTCTGACCTTCAATGGATCCCTGTTCCCCAGCCCAGCTAATCTAGACTTCATGTCCTAGTTTTCAAGGTCCTTTACATTCTGGCCTCATCCTACAGGTTTATATAAAGGGATATGCTGGAGTCAGATCAGACTAGCTCTCATATGAGCACTGTGCCTTGGAAATCAGCAAATGCTACAAATTAGCGCTCATTTTGTTGACTGCCTAGACTTAAGAAAGTGTTGATTAGACTTAAAAGATAGATTAGACTTAAAAGTGTGTTGTGCATACATTTTTTTTTTCTTGGACGGACAGTTATTAAACATTTACCAGCACAACCTTGTCTATATTAATTAGCCTTATATTTATGCTATATATCTGTGTGTATATACATATATGTGTGTATATGCACATATATGTGTGAATATATATATTTTTTATACGTGCTTGTTATCTACTCCATTAGAATGTAAGCTTAGTAGGGATTGCTTCATTCTTGTATCCTGGGCATCTAGCATCCCTGGTACATAGTAGGCACTTTAAAAGAGCTTGTTGATTG